CACCGGGCTTCACTTATTCTTATTGGGCCTAAAATAATCAAACTCATTAGAAATCTGGTACCCTAATAAGTAAACTATCAGTATAAGGAGATACTCACCAATTTTTCCTTCTCTTCTTTGGCTTTTTCCTTTGTTTCAACCAATTTCTGTTTCAGTTTTTCTATCTGTAGAAGATAAAATGCCAGAGTAAGGAAGATAATTGCTTTGTGTCCTATTTCTATTCATATACTTTATTATTTTATACAGTACTAAAGCCAGTAAGCCAGGAAAGACAGTAAAGAAGGAGGGGGCAGGGATTTGCTCATATATTTAATCTGATTGACAATTTCCAAGATCTAGCTATCACCCTAATTAGTGGATAACTCTTTTATTGCTATAAAAACTACAATATTGGGCAGGGGAGATGACTCAGTGGTTCAGAGTGTTTACTCCTCTTGCAGAGGACCCAAGCTCAATTTCTAGCACCTACATGGCAGCTCAGAACTGCTTATCTCCACTTCCGGTGGGGTATGGTATCTTCTGGCCTCCATGCAGGCTCCTGCATTAATGTGATGCCCGGGCACACACACACACATACACATAAAGCCTAACGTCAAGTTTACTGTCAACCTTTTTTTTATTATTATTTTTTAAATTTGGTTTTTTGAGACAGGGTTTCACTATGTAGTGCTGGCTGTCCTGGATCTCACTGTGTAGACCAGGCTGGCCTCAAACTCCGAGAGTTCCACCGGCCTCTGCCTCATGAGTGCTGGGCGTAAATGCATGTGCCACCACCTCCAGGCTCTGTCAACATTTTTAAGTGGGCAGGTTAGTGGTACTAAGTTTGTTCATGCTCTTACCTAAAAGATCTCTAGAATTTTTCATTTCACATTTCTCCTTTTCCCTTCCTCTCTGCCTCTGGCAATCACTTTTTACTTTGTTTCTGTGAATTTGAATCCTTTTTATATTTCAAATTACTTGAATCATGAGCCTTTGACCTCTTGTGACTGGCTTGTATCATGTAACGTAATGTCCTTGAGGTTTACTATACTGTAGCATGTTATGTGGTTTTCTTAAGTCTATACAATTGTCCATAAATATGTAAACCTGATTATCTTTTTCTCTCTGGGGAGGAGTGATGAGGTTAGGGACAGGGTTTCTCCATGTAGACCTTACTCACCTGAAACTGGATATGTAGACCAGGTTAGCCTGAAACACACAGAGATCTACCTGCCTCCCAGGAGTGCTGGGATTAAAATGTATGCAGCCACACCAAGCCTCACCTGATTTTCTCTATCCATTTATTTTTTTCATAGATTTTTAAGTTGTCAGTTGTTTTTTCAGATTTATAAAATTATGTGTTGTATCTGAATATGGCTGTGTGTGGGGGGTGTCTTTGGTGGTCAAGAAGCATCAGATCTCCCTGAAGATGGAGTGATAGGCAGTTGTGAGCTGCCCGATGTGGGTGCTGGAAACCAAACTTAGGTCCTCTGGAAAAACAGTACACACTCTTACCTGCTAGCCATCACTCCAGTGATATTTTTAAGTTGTTTTCATCTCTGTTAATGTAAATAATGCTACAAGAAAGAAAAAAAAAAAAGCCAGTGATAACAAAGCTATTCTGAAATAACAGCTTGCTTCAAGTAAAGTGTTAACTACAGTATCCTAACCATGTGATGAGATTTCAAGGTCTTACAATCTTTCAAAATTAAAAAAAAAACAAAAACCTTAGCATTTTAATATAGAGGCAGATAGATGTCTGTGAGTTTGAGGACAGTTAGGGCTATATAGAAAGACGGTCTCAAACAAATAAAAAACAAAACAAAATTAAAAAAACTTTAAAAAATATAACCATGTCACATAAACTCAGAGGAAGGCTGTGAGGTTCAGTTTTCTACCTACCTACCATATTATCTTTCTCCTGATCCTGCTTCTTCAAGTAGCTTAATACAGACATAGTGTCTTTTTCCAGTTTATACTGCTGTTTCTTTAAGTCTTCATTATTTTTTGCCAGTCTTCGGGAAGTATCACGATACTCAATCCTAGAGAGTTCTGTGACTTCCAATCTGGCCTCCCAGAGAGAGGCATTGGCCTTGGCTCGTTCAATCACTTGGTCTTCTGTTTTCGATACTTTCCTGTAGAGGATGATAGTGGCACTATGGAACTTCTTTACTCTGTTAGCACTATTTCTCTTTTGTTTTCCTTGGCACTGCCTAGCACATAAAAGCGTATATTGTTGGATGAATGCATTAATAAGTACACATTTGTTTGTATTCATGGAAGAGAAGATGAGCGCTCCAGGGGATGACTTTAAAGGACCAGGAAAACGAAGATGAAATAAGAGGCCACATGCATTTCATAAAGCTCTATACCTCTCATTTACTTCATTCTTCCGTATTTTTTTATTTACTTATTCTTGCTGTGTTGAGAATCAGACCCACTCTCTAGCATGCTAGGCAAGTGCTCTACAAATGAGCTGCAGTCCCAGCTCCCAAGTTTTTCTACTGTTTCACTCAGTTGTGAACCTTGGTTCACTCCCCTCACTATGGTTACATTTCTACACAAGGACACATTTGTTTGTATATCTGCAGTCTCCACTCCCAGTTTTTGTTAGTGTTGTTTTGTTTTGGCTAGTTCTTGCACAAAAGATTAAGTTACTTGGACAAGTATGTTAAATACTTTACTTGTTGGTACCACAGCATACCACCCTTCAAGAATGCCTGAAAAACACACACCATAGTCATTTATGCAGAGATGAAAAGAATTTTTAAGGCCCCGGGGATGGAGACTGATAGCAGTAGAATGAATGTTTATTGACTATCTAGGTTTGATCCCCAGAACCATACCTTTATTGAAAGGGTAGATTCAAGGCTTTAATCAATAAAAGGTGAGGTTCTTCAGAATAAATATTGCACTAGCATTAACAAAACACTGCCCTATGATAGGCACTAGTTATAGAAATAATAATGCATAAAAAGTGTCACCTACATTTGAGTTCTAAATAGTCTCCCCAAAGTCTGTAAGTGGATCTGTCCCACTTACACTGTCACTGTCCATATCCTCTCAACTCCTGGTCCTTAGTCCTTCTGCACAGCTACCTTTTGTTCTCTTCAAACTCAGGCCAGCTCCATTCCCAATCCTCCAGTCTGACTTAGCGGCCGCTGGCCCTTTCCAGTGTGATTTAGACACTAGTAATAGACTGCCATTCTACAATCACCAATTGCTTCCACAAAGTATCAAGAATTGATGAAAGTGCTGGGCAGTTGGGGAGCACGCCTTTCATCCCAGCACTCTGGAGGCAGAGGCAGGCAGTCCTCTGTGAGTTTGAGGCCAGCCTAATCTACAAAGCAAGTTCCAGGACAGCTAAGACTGTTACACAGAGAAAGGGGGGGAGATGAGGGGGTGATTTTAAATTGATGCAAGCAATTAGTTGTCTCTAAGAAAAAGACCACTAAGTTACTGAAGAAACAAAGGAGCGTTTCTCAAACAATGAGCCATGGACCATTCAAGGAATACAAAGTATATTATTGTTCCTCCCTGTTCACATATGCACTGAAGATGAAGAGCCAACCAAAAATAAAACAAAACATGACTGTGAGTTACAGGAATGTGATAAGCCCTGGGCCATCTTTAGAATGTGCTAGACTGAGAAGTTACATTTTGTTTTCTCAATCACCTTGTAGAATATGTGTTAAGAGGTCAGAGATGTGGTTCTGTGGTAGAACACTTGCCTATCAGGGGAGGAGGGCCTGAGTTTGATCCTGGGGGTAGGGGTAGGGGGTCTACAAATCATTATCCTATCATTTAACACAGGGAAAAAATAGAAAGAATAATGGGAGTGGTTAACTGTGGCTGGTGGGTTGACAGGTGATTTTTTTTTTTCTTTCTCCTTTACTGCTTTCCATATCTCCCAAGCTTTCTGTACTGAGTATGAACTTACTCTAAGTTACTCTTCTGGAGAAGGAACCTAGGACCCCGGACAAGCACTCTATCACTGAGCTCTACTCACAGACCAAACAAGTTACCTTCTTTTTTTTTTTTCTTTTCCTTTTTTCTTAAAGACAAGCTCTCCCTATGTAGCACTGGCTGCCCTAGAACTTGTGATCTTCCTCCCTCAGCCTCCAGAGCAATGCGGGCAGGGATGCGTTTACTGAACCTGTCTCCAAAGAATTCACTTTATAATTACAAGTTTAAGGGATTCCTTTGCAATTCCCGTACGTAGAGGTGTTGAACTCCATGTGTGCTTCCAACATCTCGAGGCATTACCACGGGTAGCCCTGTAGGGCTATTGGGGTCGATCGACATTCTAGCAGCCACTCTGGGGTTAGCGCTAGAGCAGGACCAGTGTAGGTGGGGGATCTGACCAGTCTGGTCAAATCCTTTTGCGTTCTCCCTTTGATGCAAAAAGGATTCCTGAAAGGCCCGGGGAACAACTTGAGCCACTCAGACCAGAGCTACAATAGAACTACACCAGATCCTATCAGTCTCATAACGGAGATCTCTCTCGAGAGGCCAGGGCCAAGGAAGAACGGACAGCCGGAGCTGTCCTCAAAAGCCTGGCAAGCGGAGGCGGGCGGCCAGTGAGCGCGCCCCTAAGATTCAAAGCGCCCCGACGGCAGTGATGGGGAACCGGGAGTCCGGGGCAGGGGCGTGGGGGACAGGACTCCGCGCCGGCCGCTGCGCTTACTTTTTGTCCTTGTCTTTGCCTTTGTTCTTGCCTTTCCTCTTGTCCCTGGCCGGCATGTTGACCTCTTCAGGAGTCTCACCGCCGTGGTGTCTGGGTGGCCGCCACCCGGGCCGACTCTGTCTCTAAGGAAACCACCACGCCGAAAGGGCTAACGTCCTCCGCGCCGTTGAGGGCACGCGGAGGGCGCACGCGCGTGACGTGACCGCGGCGAGGGGCGGGGCGGAGAGCGCTCGGAGGAGGCT